AGCCCAGCCACGAGTTTAAAATGAAAGCCTTCACTCTAAGGATGGTGCATGAGTGCCCTGGGGCTGCCATACAAATTACCACAAGCTGGTGGCTTCAAACAGCAGAGACTGTGGTCCTGCTGCCCTGTCTGTCCAGACACACAGGCCCCCAGCCCACATCATCTGCCTGTTTTCTGTCACTTCAAGTCACATTTATGAATTTGAACTAACTCGTATCTTAGAAGTTCTCCCAGACAGGGACGCGTGGACACAAACTCTGGTTCCCTCCTCCATCTACTTATCTCCTTCGTAAGCCCTTTCCACTGTGCAGAGGGCATCAGTTTGAAAATAGCAGCTAGTGGAGAATTCAAACTAACATAAAGTCATAACAACCTTCCAAGGAATGCGTGGTTTTAGTCCCAGAAGGGATGGTTGGAGAATTTATGTGGACACTCACAGAACGCAGAGCCCATCTTGCCTGGGAAGGTCATCGTGTTGCCCATCAGTGCCCAGGACAGGCAGCAGACCCGCCCTGGGCTCAGGCAGGAACACACACCCTCTTCTCCCGGGGAAAACATCAGCATGCAGGGAAGAAGCACCCGGCCGGCCCTCAGTTCTCACACTCTTTCAGCTGACAGTCCCTGAGTGTCCCAAGGCCACGCACCTGCATGCTTAGCTGCCCTGCTCACTGCCCTGAGGAGAGGGGCACCACACCCCCACCACATGGAAGCCAGTGTCCTCTCCGTGAAGCCAGCGCCCTAGCAACAAAAGACACGGAGTGTCTGCCTTCAAGGGTGCATGTGCTACACGGACCTCTCCCCCAGCCACAGAAGTTAAGGGCTGATTCTATTCCACTGCCTCATCTGAAAAGTGGCAACACCCACTTCTCATAATAATATATAATAGCATAATGATTATAATAATATAGTAAATAATTTATAGTTAAACATTAGATGCATATAAACATTCCTGGCATATAGTAGGTGCTCAATAAATGAGTGCTGGCCTCAAGGCTGAGGACTGACTGAGGGAAGGAAGAGGCCCAGCCCCCACCTGCAGCCCCAGCCCAGGCTCACCTGATCTGGCTGCTCTTTCTCCAACTCAGCTCTCCCGGAGAGCCACATCCCCACCCATAGATGCCGGAGTGTGGCAAAGATGCAAAGAAACTGTCCTGGGACAAAGGCAGAGCCTGTGGTGGGGTGGTGGGGGGCGTTTTCCCTAAGTGGGAGGAGATTGACCAGCCAGGGGAGGGCATGACTGAAGCTACCCAATGGAGAACACCCAAGGGTGCCAGGAGAGAACCAGGAATAGCAAGGAGGCACTAGGCCCGCCCCACAAGCCTAGACTCCCTGGGACCCTTACTAGCACAGCCTCTGTCCACCTCCTGACAGGTGCCTGGAGTGGGGGACAAGTGGAGCACCTGGGCAGGGGTGATGGGAACACACAACTTTCTGAGAATAGGGGTCAGGGCCTCCCACCCGATGCTCCAGGGGCCATGCATTCCCCCAGGAGGGTTGTCCTCAGTGGGTATGGCCCCTGGTGGGCACATCTCAGTGAACCCCAAACCAACTTCCTGCCCCCCACTCCGCATCTAGCTGGAGCCCAGCCAGGGCCTCTAGGGCACAGCTCTTGCAGACCCTTTTAGGACAGGGTCATGGATGTTTTCTATAAATGGCCCTATAGCCAGTATTTCAGCCTTTGCTAGCTGCAAGGTCACTGTCACAGCTACTCACCACTGCTGTCATTTTAGAGTAAATAAAGTAGGAGCAATGTCCAGAATACTGTTTACTGGGGTTATATTACATAAATGAACAGCCTTGTTTACACACACAGGCAAGTGGGCAGGGGGCGGAGCCAGCGTGAGCATAGCTTGCATACCTGTCTTAGAAGCAGCTCCATCCGCCATCAGGCTCCCCAGCCTGCCCTGCTGCCTCTTTCCTGCATGTTCTTTTTAATATATATTAAATCATAAACACATAGATCATGTATACATTAATGCATTGGGGGGGTACAATGTGCTGATTTCATATAGAATTAAGAATGCTTACATCACACTGGTTAATATATACCTCATCTCATTTACCTAGTTACTGTGTTAAGACATTTATACTCTATGCTAATAGATCCGACATGTACCCTTGCATTATGCACCATAGGTGTGATCTCACCATTCACCCTCCCTCCATCTGACCTCCCCATTCCCCTCTCATCCCTCCTCCTCCCTCCTTCATCGTGGGCCATAGTTATGATCTATTCTTCACATGAAAGTGTGAGTGATTGTAAATTGGTTTCATAATAGTACTGAGTACATGGGATATTTTTTCCTCCATTCTTGAGATACTTTATTAAGTAGGATATGTTCCAGCTCCACCCATGTAAACGTAAAAGAGATAAAGTCTCTTCCTGCATCTTGAATCCCAACCACCTGGGTACACAGCCCTGGACACCCGAGCTTGACAGCCCCTCTCCTGTGGCCTCTGCTCTCAAGTAAAGCCACCATCAGGCCAGACTTGGTGCTTTGCTATATTTTAAAAGAACCCAATTTAATATCATGGGCAAGGAGTGCAGGCCTCCCTGACAGTGGAGAAGAGGGTCGCACTGCCCAGCCCAAGCCAGCCTGGACAAGCTCAACCAGAGCCCCCCCTGGAGCCAGCCCCCCTCCATCACTCAGGCCCTTGTCACTACTGGCTCTGAGGCTGGCCTTTATGTCCCCGGGGGACCCTTCAGGAGGCACACCCTCTGCCCCTGAGAAGATAGAAGGGTTCCCAAACAGCTGAAGCCACATGCCACATTTTGTAGCTGTATCTGTGTGTACCCACTGACTGGGTACAGAATCCTCAGCACTAAGGCAGCCCTGGGAGCAGACCACACAACAGGTTCTCGGCGAGGGTTTAGATGAATGAGTGAGAGAACTCAGAGTGACAGCTGAGTCCATGGCTCACTGTGCATGTGGTGCCTCGGGGACCAGCATGAGGAGCCTGTTGGACGTCCCTATTTCAGGCGGGAAATGGGGTTTTCACCACCTGGTGGGATGTACACACCACAGGATTCAAAGGGTGCTGACAGCCCACAGATGCTTGGGAGACATTTACCCCTGAGGATCACAATGTGTCAGCCTCTTTATGAAGCAAAGAAAGGGTCTTCCCTCCCTGCAACCCCTACCATGACTCCCAACCTAACCCAGGCAAGGCAGGGAGGGGGGCGCTCTCTAGCAAGTGATCAGGGTTAGCAAGAGGACAGTGTGGGCAGGGGGAGAGGCCAGTTGCTCTGGGCAGCTGAGTGGCC